TGTCCTCCACTTTTACGAGATACATAATAAGTGAGGAGTCACGTGTATTAACGAAGTGCGGGCGGTGTGACATTGTCCCTGCCTGGTGGCCTGCAACTGGTGCTGTAATCACACATGGTCCCAACAGCCTTATGGTTGCATCTCGCAGCACCAAGAACGACACTTTGGCTGTGTTCCAAATCTTACCCAAATAGATCCAAGTTACTCCGGTGGGTCGTGTCACGTGACAACACAGATTGAAAAGTGCTGGGCACGGGTAGTTTTTGGAACGCTGAGGTGCAAAACCCTTACCCTGGATTAAGATCGAGTAAATTGCCCTTGTCAGCCTACAACTCTACAGTTTGGGTTGCTTCACTGGGATTGCCACTTTCATCCTCGAAACAACATAAGCAGTCAGATAACCAAACCGCCAGTTACCTAAGTGCAATAATGCCGTTTCGAAAGCCCCTTTGACGGCATCTAAGCAGCTCGCATTAGAACAAAGCCTATTCCATTCCTACTCTATTCTGGGCAAAATGTAACTACTAATTTCATTCCCATTCCATTCCAGTGCTGCCACCATTTTATTTGCATTCGATTCCAGGGTTGTGAAAGTGCGGAATCGTTCCAACTCTGGAGTGGCAACTCCTCAACACTGGTGATAGTCACCAAGGCACCCAGTTCAGTGTGAATGCTGTCCTCACAGCCCATCCAAAGCTGTTATTACTGTAACAAACTCCAGTACGACGAAGTAGTTGAATTCGGAAGCCTGTTGTGCAGATTTGTACCTTGCATTGTTTCCGGTATTTTTTATTTCTTTTGTATTTTATAATAGACAACAACCGTTGTAATCTCGGTATTGTTGCCAAACCTGAAGGTTTTATCATCGGTGCACTTTTAAATAAATACATATATGCCACAGCCGCAGCTCAGCGATGAGCACCTACACTGCGACTTAGGTGTTTCGTAAGTATTCATTTTGATTGCGCGATAATGATGTTTGTCTTCTGTTAGAATTAAAAAAACCAAAACAATATTCAACATGATGGATAATTTTGGACACCCGCGGCATGTGTGATCTGAGCATTTGTTCTTTTCATCTGAAGTGTGTCTCTTGCTTACTACCTATAGAGTATACGATGTTGTGGACGGAAAAGATGCTGCGACCGACTCCGAGCAATAAAAACATTCTGTTTATTCTCATGTCGTTGAGCTCGTGGTGACGAGTATGAGTAGCACTGTCTTCTTTGGCGATGCCAAGGCTGAACCGATAGACTGCCGCAGAGCTATCGCCCTCAGCTCTGCACTGTGAGGAATGGCACGATTTTGTTGAAGTGATTGCGGCTCCAGAGAGGTGTCGTTGCTGTTGACATGTACCGCAAGCAGGATGACATACTAGAGAGCAGGAAAGAGAGCGTTTGGAAGCCGTGCATGGTAGTTGACGCCGAGGTCAGGAAATGAGGCAGCAGACGGGGAAATCGACCCTGTCGTGCTTTCAGTCCGGCTCGATCAGTTTGGAGTGTACAGCCTCGGACTGAAAGGGGGATGCCGGCCGACTGCGGAGCCGATGCAACATCCCCTAAGATGAGGAACCGAACTGAGAGCGAATGCCTGACATGGCAACGATGAGGAGACCCTGGTCGGCTAGCAACATGCCTTGTGAACAGTGTGAAGATGTCGATGAATATTCACTTGCCAAGCCGGTGGGGCAAGCAAGGTGGTCGCAGCCCATTGCTGGGAGATGCCGGTGCTAGATGCGACAGAGCAGAGGTGGTTGCGGAGGCGCTGCAGATGTGGAGGCTGAGAAAGTTGAATATATGCCTACTGCATTTTCGTCCGAAAAGGCAGAGCCATTGCCGTGCCCTTGGCCATGAAAAACATTCCCCTGGATAGCAGGTGCTCGGAGTCAATCATCATGTCCAGGTCACCAATCTGTAGCACTTTCGATCTTGAGGACGGAAGAGACGGTGCAACAGACTCTGAGTTTAACTGTGAAAACATTCTCTTTATTCTCGTACCGTCAAGCTCGTTCCGACGAGTAGCTTGCTTTTATACACTGCAGTCATTAGCATTATAGTTGATCTAAGTATTTTGCAACACTATTAATACGGCAGATTGGGCGAGTTGGTACGGCATAATTACGAACCAGCGCACAGGTAGACCAGTTACTCAAAATCCAAATACACAAAAATATACACTCGCACAGCGCTGATGTGAGTTTTTTGTGTTTGGATTTTTGGTAACTGTCTACCGGTGCTCTGGTTCGTAATATTGCAACACTGCCGTCTTTAGGCGATGTGGAGGCTGAACCGATGGACCGCCAGAGGCCCATATCTGTATCTGTTTCATATACTGAATGCCTTTTTGCACGGCTCTGTGTTTACTTTTGTCTTCCAGATTTTTACTGCTCACTTGTTTTTTTTTAATTTTATTTAGAGGATACTACTGGCCATTGAAGGCCCAAGTAGGAGTGGGGTACAACATATGCATTCACACACCTACAACAACAAACAAATAACACAACATTAAGAGGTTTACAACAACTAACCAGCAAATATACAGGATATATATATTTAAAAGGGGGGGGGGGGGGGGGCGGCACAGCATGCATCAAGCAGCATGTAATTTAATCATTTGTAATAATAGATGTGAAATTTAATACTCATATTTAAGATTGAACATTATCAAACAAAGGTGAATTTAATTAAGCTATAAATTTTATATAGACTGTTACTTTTTATACAATTTTGTCTAGATTTGTCAGGATACAATCTGCAAGTATGCATAAAGTAACTGGAAAGTTGAAAGAAGCAAATTAGAGATTGCAAAACCTACTTCTCAATAGATAGTTTTTTCCCAAAGTATTTACGTGATAGAGCAGCTGAAATAAGGCTCCTTTTTCAGTTTTTTTTATTTGAAACACCTTAAAAATACATTGTTTTCTAAGATTTTTTTTTATTATTATGCTTGGAAAATTAAGTTACTGATTGTGTTCAGTTTATTCTAAACTATTTATATGAAATTCCAGAGTGCTTTTGTGCATAACAGTGGCTAGATAAGGTTTTTATAATTTCTGATAAAACAAACTGACTAGTTTCTCTTTAGTGACCGTTTCGCCAAGGTGACAGCAGAACAAGTAACGGATCCCGACGTCAAACTGCAGGAATTTGAGATATATGTTTTCTTAGCGAATGCACGCCACTGTTGTGACATATTTGAATATCCTTATCGCTTGCTTGGGCTCAGCGGGTAATGCAGGTCGGCACAAGCGTGAGTATAAAGGCTGAACTGCATAAAGCGATTTAGCGAGCGACGGCGACAGCGACGAGTCAGCGACGTATTACGAAGGTTTCTTACTATCGCTCGTCGCGTCACTCGGTTTTTGGACTTCTAGAAAACATCGTTCCGCTTTCATGCGGCTTGCGTCGTCGCGCGAGTGACCGAGCGTCAGCGAAGCGGGTCGCCGTCGCTGTTCTCGTCGCTCGCAAAATCGTTTACATTCGGTTTATACTTCACGCTGTCAATAATATCGCCTCGAGCGCGCATAATTTCATTTCCACGGGAGCGCGTGTAAACCAAACCCTAAACCAAGACGGGGGCTGCAGCCAGCAGCTTTGAGAGCGTCATACAATGGATTATAGTTTGACAGAAGCAAGCACACACTTCGCTAGCGCATTCCAGCCTTGAGCGCTCGAACTTCCGAAAACGAAACCAGATTTTGCTACATTTTGGCTAGCTCGAAACATTTGTTTTTAAATATAGGGTGTTTTTTAGCTATAATCTAGACTAAGAGAAATGTGTAACTTCCCAAATTATATTTATGTCGCCGTACTATATAAGTAATAATTGTGTAATATCGTTACGTTCATATAAAATACGGGGGGTGTCACCGGACCTTCGGCTGAAACAAAAAGTCTGCTATATATACCGAGCGGGTTTCTATTGCAATTGAGTAGGAGTGTCGGGTTGTTAGTGCCTCTGTTCGTTGTTTGTGTATGTAGATGCTTGTATGTTGATCTTGTGGTATGTTCTGTGATGTATGTGTTGGTATGCTGCCGTCCGTGTTCGAGCGTGTCACTTCCTCAAATGCCAAAATGTCCTTCATTTTTGTAGTTTTCCGCATACTCACTAGGTGGCGCAAGCAGCCGCCCAATTTTATTTTAGCTTTGTTTGTACTTAGTCCATTTATGTGTAAGGAACCACACACCACACCACATAGCTACAGTCTAGTAGAAAAGTAACCGCGTGTTTAAATGGCGCATAGCGCCGTCGTTCAGTTCGTCTTCGTTCGCTGGCCGTTTCGGTAGCCGATTCGTACCCGGAAAGCCGCAAAATTTGCGTACACACGATATGAGTGGATACGTCGAAACGTCGCGTACAACTTTCCTCGCGGTAAAGAGGTGAGCGGGACGTCGGTAACGCCGGTCGGGTAGGGTCGGTGTCGGAGCTATTCGTCGTCGCTCGCGGCAAACGGGCTTTTTCAATAAAGTTCATGTCTGTGGTCGCGAAAAGATAACTGCTGTGGAAATTACCCGGCGTCGGTGACAATGCAACCGGCTTGAGGCCTCGGCGATAGGCTGAACCGCCACGCGAACGAGACCTGCTCGATGGGGAAGCACGCTACTGGATGCAGTCGATGGTCGCTCCCACTGTCGCGTAATCGCCGTAATGGATACGGCGTCGGCGCTTGGGGGTGAATGCTTGCGGTAGTTCAGCACGTATAGACGATTACGAACGAACACGTGCAAACTACGCTTTCGCTGCGGCGAAAAGCCGTGTAAAGCGCTGGGCCTCGCTCGTAGAACCCGTCTTGCGTCAAACGGCCGCCATTGTAAAAAAACACCCCTAGACGTGTGATCGCAGAACGAAGTACACGTTCAAAGATGTTCATTTTACACGAGACCTCGGGTGCAAACGAAATACACCGAGCCTCGCGTGTAAAACAAACACCATTTGGGGAGTCCGCCCTGGGACAACGGTTTACACGTCCAGGGGTGTACTTTTTCGCTGTGTGTGCATGTCTCCGCTGGACTCGTGAGCAGGAACAGCATTTTGAGGAAGGGCGTAGCTATGATCAGCTTCAAAATAAATAGAAAAAATAGAAAGTGCTGTTACAATAACTGTAGTAAGAGCAAAAAACACAAAAAAGTCAGAGCAACAAGGCGCGCAGAAACGCCCTGCTCTCCCATCACTTACCATGAGCCTCCAGTGGACTGTTCTCTAGTGGGAGACAGGAATATGTGTGGTCCCATGAAGCTGACGAACATCCCTCTGCGAAGGTAATGTGAAAACAATGAATTAGTGGTTGAATTTCAGATTCATTCTACTTTTTTAACATCTGAAAATGAAAAAAAAAAAAATTACCTTCTTCCAGGGACAGCCCGATTTCGGAAGACTGGTCGTCAGGAATGCCACAGGAACTCTGCGAGTCTGGGCGGCTGGAGTATGTGCAGGTCGATGAAGTTGGAGAACTCCTCCCTGCAAATTTAACATGAAGTTATTGAAGGCATAGCGGTTAAATTCCTAGTTGATTCTCGTATTAAAAAAAAAATCACCTTCTTCCAGTGACAGCTCGATTTCGGAAGACCGTACGTCAGGAATGCCGCAGGAACTCCGCGAGTCTGGGCGGCTGGAGGATGTGCAGCTCGATGAAGATGGAGAACTTCTCCCTGCATATTTAACACAAAGTTATTGAAGGAGTAGCGGTTGAATTCTTGGTTGATTCTCCTATTTTAAAATCTGAAAATAAAAATCACCTTCTTCTAAGGACAGTTCCATTTCGGAAGACTGGTCGTCAGGAATGCCACAGGAACTCTGGGAGTCCGAGCGGCCCGGGTATCGGTAGGTCGGTGGGGCTGGAGAACTCCTTCCTGCAAATTTAATATGAAATTAGTGAAAGAGTAGCGGTTGAATTTCTCCCCAATTCGCTTATATTTAACATCGGAAAAGGGAAATAACCTTATTTCAAGGACAGCTTCATTTCCGAAAGCTGCTTGTCAACGTGGACAATGCAGGTCTGTGGGCCCATATTGGAGTCGCTTACTCACCTGAGGTTAAAAATGTAGTAAATGGGGCCTGGAATGAGACTCAATCAATGACTCCTATCTGATTCCCCACATTTGTCCAAGCACACTTTATTCTATAGCAAAATGCTCAAGTGATGAAGAACATGAACTAACACAGTGGTGACGGCATTTGCTGCCTCTTTATGGTAGGTACAGCGAAAAAGCTCACCATTTGCCACTGCAGAAACTGTACAGCTCTCGCTTGAAACTTCGCCACGTGTCGTTTCTGTGAAATTGCATAAATGTTATAAGTCCACAAAAGCAATTTTTCGGGCCCATGTGCTAACTATTTCTCTAATCAGTGGGCCTTGACATGGTTATTCTCAAAGCGCGTCGGAAGGTCTAGTGGTCTGGTCACCTTCAGGGGCAAGCACAGTCGGCACTGCATTGTGGCGTAGGTATCCAGGCCGCAGGAAAGCTGACGCCTTGAAATGTAAAGAGCAAACAACCATGTTTCGTAGCTGCCATGGAGTCTTCCCCTGTAGGCCCCGGTTGTTGGAGAACCGAACCTATGCTTCACGCCTGCGGATAAAGCGCGGTGCTATCTAAGTGTCTTGCGTACTTGCAAAGAGCAAATGTAGCCAATATGTGCACACACCAAAGCAAATCGGAGCGAGGACATTCACAGATTAGTGAGCAAAACTCTCTGTATGAACCACAAAAAGATAAACATGAGCCTTTAGTGCAGAGGCTTTTAAATGTATCTATGTCGTGTTGCATCCTTGATTAGAGCGTCGATGAGTATGACCCCATACTCCTGAGGGGCAAATCGGTTCAGGTAAATTCAAATATCCTGGGCGCTTTCGTAATGAGCGCGAACAACGCTGCAAAGTCAGCGAAAACTAACAACAGTTAAGAGAACATTTTACAAGGGGGGCATGGCCACAACACAGCAGGCACCTCACTGACAGGAACAAAATCTCACCTTCGAGTGTCGACAGGAAACCGGTGCAGCGAGACGCCAGCCGTGCGGTTGTCACTTCGGCATTCTTCCACGGAGCAACGCCTCGTTGCATAACGTGTTGAGCTCATTGTCACGAAGGACGTTGAGCCCGTCGGACGCAGTAGCGTCCAACCGCACGAAGGTGACTGTTCCTATATCACGCTGATATTACGCTCCTGCGCACGTAACTTGCGTTATCAGGCTGAGCGAACGAAACTTTTCAAACTATTTGAAGTGACGGTAGAACGATTCAAAAAGCACGTGGAGACCTAAAAGAAGCAAGCAGACGGACAACAAGAACCTGCCTCTTCGTGCAGCACGATGCCTCTGCAATTTATCGCTATTAAAAGCCAGCCTTGTTGCTTGTGCAGTACAGAGGGCGCTAAGGGCAAGTTAGAATATCAGTAGTAATAAAAGCTATTTCAGCTTTCTCGAGCGCAATAAACCTTATTTAAAACCACTAATAACAACATACAAAATTTAAAAATACAATTTAGTATAATTTAAATTAAAGTTATTTTATTTGTATATAGTTTGCCATAACGTCTCCTAGTCGCGCTTCAAACGCACCGTAACCACGTGACCCTCCTGGTTGATGTCGCTGGCAATTTGTTTTGTACCGTGTTTTGGCCCAAGTTTCGCTACCATCTGTACATATACCTTGATTGTACGACATACCACAGCTTTAGGAATTCTTGCCTGAGAACACTAGGGTCAACTGAATCTTTTTTGTGCTTGGTCAAAGAAAGATTACAACAAGTATTGGCAACTTTCCAGGGTGCAGTTCTTTGTTGAATTTCAAGGACAGGAGAGAGAGCATCAAAATTGCATTGTTCTGCAGCAATTCTTACACGTAGTGCAAAGGGAGGGGTTACAGATGGTTTGTACTAAAATAAGCTCTGATAGTTTATGTTTTTAATTATTTCATAAGCAGGATTTTGCGGAAAAGAACGAAGTCTTAGAAAGTACTGAACAGCGAGAAAAAGTCTACGTCTCTCGAGCGAGCACTCATGCGATTCAGCGTACAGGCTAAGTACCGGCGACGTACGGAATGCCCCCGTTGCCAAACGGATCCCCTGATGGTGAATTGGATCAAGCATCTTGAGGGTAGATGGTTTCGCAGATCCGTAAACAAGGCTTCCATAATCCAGGGTAGAGCGCACTACAGCCCTGTAAATGCGTAAAAGACATACCCTGTCCGCGCCCGGGTGCGATATGAAAGAACTTTTAAAATGTATAGTTTCTGCTGGCATTTCAGCTTCAGTGCCTTGATATGGGGGCCGAAAGTAAGCTTGCTGTCAAACGTCACACCGAGGAACCTGTGTTCCAGTCGGACGGGAAGGGGTGTGCCATTTATGTGAAGCGATGGTTCGGGATAGATTCCCCTTCTCCGGGAGAAGCAAACAGCCTCGGTCTTCTCAGCACAAGACTTGAAACCATTCTTATCAGCCCATTTACTCATTTTATTAATGGTTACTTGGATTTGGCGCTCACAGATAGCTAAATTACATGACGAAAAGCAAACCTGGACGTCATCAACATAAAGCGAGTAGGAGACCGAAGGTGGTATTGCTCGGGACAAAGAGTTGATTTTATTAAGAGGGTAACGCTCAGAACACATCCTTGTGGGACTCCATATTCCTGCATGAAACATGACGAAGGGGTTGTTCCCAATCGCGCCTGAAAGGTGCGATCCTGCAAAAGTCTGCGATGCAATTAAACATATTCTCGCCAATATTCATCTTGATAAGGTCTTGAAGGATACCGTACTGCCAAGTGGTATCGTAAGCCTTTTCAAGGTCAAAACATACTGAAAGGCAAAACTGCTTGTTTATAAAGGCCTCTCGGATGGCCGTTTCTAATCGTACGAGGTGGTCGGCAGTGGACCTGGCGGCACGAAAGCCACACTGTAAATTGCTTAAAAGCGAGTTCCGTTCCAGAATGAAGATAAGCCTATTGTTAACCAGCCGCTCGAATGTCTTACCCAGGCAGCTAGTCAGGGCTATAGGCCTGTAGTTGGAGGCTTTACTCCTGCCTTTTCCCAGTTTGAAGATAGGGATGACAACAGCCCTTTTCCACACGCTCAGCAGCTTCCCCACTGCCCACACTCTATTGAAAAACTGAAGGAAAATGACGAAAAATGCTTCAGGCAGATGGGAAATTATAGTGTAATGAATGTCATCAACCCCGGGAGATGTAGCCTTTGCTATGGTAGTGACTCGACGCAGCTCAGTAAGAGTAAAAGACCGGTCATATTCTACGGCACAGCTATCAGGTCGGCGGATCGGGACCTTCTCAGTTTTGGTTTTAAAGCGTAAAAACGTTTCCGTATAATTCTTAGAGCTGGACACATGCGCAAAATGTCTACCCAGTGCATCAGCCTGTTCCTGCAAAGATCAAAAAACGCCTCTCTATCGTCGGCTGACAGCAGGGGGACTGAAAAGTGGGCGTAATCACCATCCATTCGCCTTACCCTGTCCCGCACAATTTTGGCTGGAGCAAAACTATTAATGGAGGAAGTGTACGATTGGAAGGAACGGCGTTTCGCTTGTCTCCTGACGCGTCGGGCTTCTGCTCGCAGCCGCTTGAATGCGAGAAGGTTGGTGGGGGTTGGATACCGCCGATACTTTGCCCAAGCGCAATTCTGGCGATTTCTGGACTTTCGGCACTCCCTATTCCACCAAGGCTTTGGGCGCTTGGGTAGCTTACCCGAGGTTTGTGGAATAGCAGCACGAGCTGCCTCAACAATGGCAGTTGTGATGATTTCATTCTCTTCTTGAATAGTGTGCTACAGGCAGGACAGAAGACGTTACACATTCCTGGAAAAGTTCACAGTTTGCTATAGAAAGTTTCTATCGAGGAGGGCAGCAGGGGAGAAAAGGTGGGGGCTCTGTGGGGATGAGACGGATAGGGAAGCGGTCACTGCCACGTGGGTTGTTCAGGACAGTCCAGGTAATATTTGTAAACATGGATGAAGAAACAATGGATAGGTCAATGCAGGAAAAGGAGTGGTGAGTCGAGCTGAAATATGTGGCCTCACCAGTATTTAGGAGACTGGTAGCTCTTCGGGAGAGAAACCTTTCTATAACAGATCCTCGGCTGTCGACCCGTTGACTTCCCCAGAGCGGATTGTGGGCATTAAAACCTCCTAGGAGAACATAGGGTTCTGGGAGCTGGTCTGCAAGGCATTCAAGATCGGTCAGCGTCAAGGAAGATGAAGGGGGTACGTAGATGGAGCATATGCTAATAAGGCGATCTAACATCAACCGTACTGCAACAGCCTCCAAAGAAGTGTTCAAAGAGATTTTCACAGCTGGCACCGTACCATCCACGACAATCGCAACTCCTCCGGAACTGCCAGACGTTGTTATGCGATCTTTGCGAAAGACTTGAAATGATCGCAGAAAATTACTATTCGACGGTCCCAAATATGTCTCCTGGAGACATACTGCGGAGGGTATGTACTCCTGAAGCATGAAAAAATCCTCTGCAATTCCACTGTAAAAAGCCTCCTGCCATAAAAATGTGTTCAGCTAAAAGGGTCGTTAGAATGTGGACAAAATTTTAAAATCGCTAAAAATGAATAATAAAATTAATATTAAAAAGCCAGGTTATTCTGATCTCAAAATATTTATCAAAATGCAATA